ATCTATCTATCTATCTATCTATCTATCTATCTATCTATCTATCTATCCATCCATCCATCTATCTATCTATCTATCTATCTATCTCAAAGTACAATTGCATATCATCACATTCTAACTATGTAGATTATACAGCTGAAGCATTTGAAAAACTGATCTGTTCGCTGTTAGATTAATATACTAACCAATTCAGCACTGGAATCACAGTCTTGCTGCTTGAGAATTTTCTACACTGAAAATGAAATGCCAGAGTCACTGCATAAAAGAAAATTAAAGGATTCTTATGATTGTGATTAATGCTGGAAGAGCAGCAGTAAATTTAATTCAATCATCAATGAAACGAAACAAAACAAAATTCAGCTGTTTTTGGCATCCTAAACAAATACGGTGAAAGTTCTGGGCTCAGAAGCACTTTTCTTCATTTCTTCTGTCATTCTCTTATCTATCACTTTAACAACAGCTCCTGCTATAAGGAAGGAGTAAAGCTAGACCTACTTTTCAAATGATGAGGTGCCTAGGCAGAACATGGCTTCCAATGTCTGAAAATACGGAGACTGAGAATGGGATTTCGTCTGTCATCAGGAGCCTACAGAAAGCACTGAGCCCCAAATGTTCCCCATTCACTTTATCTTGCCTGGGATCTGTTGAGAGAATGAGGGCCGGATAAAATAGGGAGTATTCAGTCCTTGGCTATCATCACTGTGGTGGGTGATAGGAGCCATGGTGGCACAGTGATTAGAATGTAGTATTGCAGGCTGACTCTGCCAGCAATTTGACCCTGTCCGGCACAAAGTCGACTCGGCCTTCATCCTTCTAAGGTCAGTAAAATGAAGACCCAGATTGTTGGGGCAATATGCTGACTCTGTAAACTGCTGTAAAACACTATGAAGCAGAATATAAGTCTTAAGTGCTATTGCTATCATCCATGTCCCCATTACTCTGCGCGTTGGTGGAAAGGGTGTGTGCGTGTATGTCTTTGTGTGCATACCCCCACGCATGTTTGCTTTCGCATCTTCATCCATGTAATCCAAAGGAAATCATTTTGGCTGTTTAGGAGATAACCTTGATTGATGTCATGATTAACAATGTCAAAAACCAATAAAAGTATTAATGTTACTGAAGTGCCCAAACTTAATAGCTACATTCCTGTTATAAATGCATTTGCATCATCTCTGTTTGGAACTGTGAAACAAAGGAAGTTGAAAATCTCTGCAGTTGAAGAAGGCACTTGTGATTAATATAGTCTGTGATATTTTCTTAATATCATATAAGAGTATCCTTGCTTTTCCCTATCTTACTTTTAAAGACTTCCTTCATTTGTAACACTGGCTATAATATCTCCTTCAATTAGTATGAGATTGAAAGCTGGATGCTTTATGAGAGATTCAGTTCAGAAAAGGCATCAGAGAAAGAGATTACAAGCTTTTGATTAACAGCAAAGCAAAAAAAGAGTGTTTGATTAAAATAAAGAGGCAGGGAGGGCCAAGGCAGGTCAATGAAGAGAACATAAAAGAAGAGATCAAAGGAAGCAGAAAGAGAAAAGCAACTGGGCTCGAAGACATGCGGCAAAAGGGAGAGGGGAATGAGGATACTAGCAGAGGCACGAGGAGCCGCTGCTGATGGGAAAAGGTGATAGAAAAGGGTACAGAGGAAGCTGTGAAGAGGCATTCAAGGTAGCACAGGAACAAAAGCAAACCTGAGAAAATAAGAAGCATTGCAAATGACAAAGAAGAAAACAAAGCGGGGTTAGAGACTAAATCAGTTGAGTGAGCGTGGTGTAGAAAATGAAGAGGATAAAGTTAGGACATAGATTGGAAATAATGCAGAGAGCTAAAATGCTGGATTATTATTAAACTTGGTAAAAAGTTACATTAAGCTTATCATTTGGGGGAAAGAAGTTAACATGGGCGTGTGTACACCTGCAGGAGGTGATTGAGGAAGTAACAATGAAGATGAAAAACAAATTTTATTGTAGACTAAATAATGTCTATAAAAGACTTATGTTTGAACAGCAGTACAAAGTTTAATTTTGTCTCTTAATTCAGATAAACTGTAATTGACCTTGGACTTAAAAAGCCATCTGGGTTGGTATACTATCTGGTTTGAACCTTATAACTTATCAGCATGAGTGCCACTAGAACTTCAGTTCTTTCTTTTACACTGTAGTCCCCAGACAAATGATACTCAATTTCCTTTCTCCCTCCTTCCTGGTGGCATATGTCTGCTTGTCTTTCTGTTTCTCCATTCTAGGGTTTTTTGCACCATTCTAGTTTATGATTTGCAAACAAAAGAACATTTAGCAATTATTGGCCATATTATTTAAATTTCATAGTTTTCCTTAAAATAGTTTACTTTTTGCTACTTGTTCTTGAGTAGGTTTGTGAATTTCCAGCTATTCTGAAAACATTGTTATTATGTTAAACTTTCATAAAGCAAAGTGTAGCAAACTATGAACAGTGCACTGCAAGGAGGACTGAATATAGGGTGATTGATCTTAAAGGAAGTCTATTATAGTATAGCTCAGGTTTGTCAAACTCGATTTCATTGTGGCCACATCAGGATTGTGTTTGACCTGGGGGGGGGGGGGCAGTTCAGTGTCACTTGTGTCAGGGGTACTTGTGGTGGCCCGAGCACTCTGCCAGAGAAAATGGACTTCCAAACTCCATTTTCGGCTGCGACAGCCTCCTGCAACTCTCTGCCAGTGAAAAGACAGGGCCACATTGGACCACACACCAGTCCTTTACTGTTTCCAGGGTGGCTCCGCAGATTTAAGCATGGATCCAGCCCATGGGCCTTGAGTTTGACACCCCTGGTATAGATAGCCTTATGAGGAAAAGCAAAGAAATAGCTGTAGCTTTTCATCCATGCTTGTTTTAAAACATGCAAGGTATTTCCAAAAGTATGGCAAAATGGGTGCCCTGCTGTATGCTAAAATTTCTGGTTTGGGGAATTTTCTTTTGGTGTGCATATGTAATGTATGTATGAGGGATCCCCAGTGCTCTCTCAGCTTGGTTGTTCATGATGTTACCTAGTTTGGATAATGAAACATCTGCAAGAAAACAACCACACTCAGAGACTCCTCATTTCAACCCTGAGATACAAATATTCTCCTTTATTGATATATGTATGTAAAAACATTCCATCAGCATATATATAGCTAACAGATCTATGGACATATAGAATATTAATTGATAGAAAACTGATTTTGAGCTTCACAAACTATGAAGAAAAACTCTCATAGAAGTTGTTGGTTTGAGGAAAAGTGGAATATAATAACTCATGTATATGCCAAAACAGATTTCTGTCACCTAACATGTAGGCTGAAGGTATAAACATATTTGAGGGTGCAAAAGTGCACGTTTGACAAAAAGATTTTTCTTGAACTCCAGATGCTCATTTGTTACCATTTTTTGGTACCAGATTCTTAGTGATTGCTTGCACAAGTCCATGCCATATTCTTGCAATATTTTACAACACACCAAAAATAAGGGGGGGTTGGGCTACCAAATTGGGAGCTGTATTACTAGGCCTCAGTGCTCACAAGGTTGAAAGAGTGGATAAATTTGAAGAACAAAAGAATATTTACGTTAGAAGGTCACGACTTACAATTGGGATGGCATGCATTTATGTGGCATGGGAAAAGTAAATACATAGATACTTCCAAAGGCACTATACGAGGAATGGTCTGCTTTCAGTATGGGAAAGAATCAAACAGAATCATTACATGAAAATACTGGTCTGGCTATCCATGATGGAAGCACTAATACATCCAAATGTTCTTGAACTGGAAAAAATCGTAAGGTATAAAGATATCCTAAACGAACAAGACTTAAAATCTAAACAAGACCTAAAAAATTAGGGAATCGATTTAACCTGGTGGCCACATAGTCAAATACAAACGAGACACAAGAAAGATGCACAAATATATGGATTATATAAAGAACCCCTAGAATTAGATCAAATATTTCTAGGGACAGATGATAAATTAATAAAGAAAATATATAATTACCTATTGAACTTTAAAATGGAAGAAGAGCATGTAAAACAAACTATGATAGTATGGGCCAAAAATTTTGGATATACTATAGAATTGGCAAAAACTTTGGGAAAGAAACTACAAACTAACGATGTCAACAACATACAAAGAAAACTTTTACAAAATGTTCAACAGATGGCATTTGCCACCAGCAAGAATGGCAAAGATGTTCCAAAACATATTTCCAGAATGCTGGAAATATAAACAGGTACCGGGGTCCTATTACCAGGAATGGGATTCTGCTGGTTTGGGCAAACCGGATGTTAATTTTATATCCAGGTTGGTGAATTGGTAGTTCCGAAGAGTAGCTGTCTGGCACCGCCCCTCCCCCAGACTCCATTTTTGCTCCCCAGGAGGCTCAAGGGAGGTTTTCTAGGCCAAAAATGGGGCATGGCGGGTCCAGCACTGCCCCCCAGTTTTGCTCTCAGGAGGCTCCAGGAGAGCTTTCTAGGCTGAAAACAGTGTGTGGGGGGTCCATACTGCCCCACCTCCATTTTTGCTCCCAGGTGGCTCCAGGGAGGCTCTCTAGGCTGCAAACGCCCCCCTGCACCCCAAAATGGGGCATAGCAAGCCTCCCTAGAGCCTCCTGGGAGCATCCAGCCATCCAGTATGCCTGGATTCAATGTTTAGCCAAAAGAACAGTTGGAGCTAATACAGTATTGATTACTGCCTTCGGAATGT